GTGCACAATACGAGCGTGCATTTAGGGTTGCAAAAAACCCCGGCGTTTTTGTTAATAGGGTTTTACCCACGAAGGCTTTATAACTTTCGGGTGGTTAAAAAAAAACCTTTGGCAGCGGTTAAAGTTAGGGCGAAAGCCTTGGAAGCAATTAAAAAGCAAGCTAAAAAATTGCTAAAAAAAGCGAATAATATGTACAAAAAGTACTATAATAAAGGCAGGACCCCGGTGCTTTTCGGGGTAAGCGATTGGGTATTGCTAAGTACGGCAAACATTAAAATAAAAAGGCCGTTAAAAAAGCTATCGAACAAATGGTTAAAACTTTTCCAAATTTTAAAAATGGTTGGGTTAACCGGTTTAGCGTTCCGGTTAAAACTCCCGGTAAATTACCAAATATATAACGTATTTCCGGCAAATTTGTTGCGGGCGTTTAAAAAAAGGCCCGGCGAAAAACCAAAAAATAAAAAACCAAAAATCGAAAGAAAAAAAAAAGATCGTTTCGAAGTAAAGGCCTTGCTAAAATACAAAAAGCTTTTGCAAAAACGAAAATATTTGGTTAAATGGATAAGTTACGACGAATCGAAAAATTTGTAAATTTTAAAAAGGGATATTACGAAAAAAATTGTTTAAGCGTATAAAGCAAGTTTATTGTAAACGAGCTTATAGGATAAGGAAAATACCGGATTTTAGCGGGTAAATACCCGGAAAAAACGGGGGTGTTATAAGAAAGGAGTAATAAGGGCCAAAAGAATGGCCTAAAAAAATGTTTTAAACGTGCCGAACTGGCTGGCCACCGGGAAAAAACGTAAAAAAACCTATAAACGGTTTGTAATAGCCGTAAAATATCGTGCTTTATAAATAAAAAGTTAGTTAAGGACGGTATAGTACGGGGAACGCCTTAAATTAATGGTGCGATATATTTAAGTTTTAAAAAATATGCAAAGTGTAGCATATTTCGGAAAGCCCGTAAAGGGCATGCTTGGCGCAATACGCTAAAGCAATTACCGTACTTTAAACGTACGTTATGGTAAAAAACATTATTGCTTGCCCGGAAAGGAAATGGGAAAACTTCCGAATGGTACGGCGGACGGGCTTAAGCGTTTAGGTAGCGGCAAATGCATGTCGGCGGTATTTAAACCCATTAAGGGGCGAAAAAAAAGCATTTTAAAATTATTTATTAAAGCATTAAAACTTAATTGGTAAATATAAATACCGGAACTTTGCAATATTGCAAGGGCAGCATAACAAAAGAAAATTATAGTTTTAATTGTAACAAATTAACGAAAAAGATTTAAAATTAACCACTTTTTGAAAAAGGGATATCAATAACTAATTAAAAAAACATGTAAGGAAAATCGATTAAATGCCGTATCCAAAAAAACCAAAACTTCCGGAAATTACGTTCCTTTTGCTAGCGCTATAATTATTGCCGCTAAAATCGTTGGCGCCGAAAGCGGCACTTCCCGGCGCTAATACAAACGCCGCACCCTTACGGGGAACCGCGCGGTTGTAAGCTTAAATATCCGAATGCGCCGCAATCGTAGCAAAGCTAACGGCAATGCCACCAAAAAAAGCAATTATATTTTTTTAAAACGTTTAAAAAACGCCTTTACCTCGTTAAAAAAATTACCGATACTAGCCAAAATTTAAACTTACTTTTTCGTTTAAACGGTAATGGCGTAAAATTATTGGAAAATGTTTTAAATAGCTTTTAATATCGCAGCGCTAGCAATTTTGCGCTAAATGCGCTTTTGGATAACGGTTTAACGTTCGTAACGCGCAAATTGTTTGGCCGATATGGTATAAAAAGATTTGGCTTTTTAAATGGCCTTGCGGGCGCGAAATTGGGTTTTAATAAGCTTTTCGAAAAGTTCCGGTATTGCTTTGGGCAATCGCTTGTAAACGGTATTTAAAATTTTGTAAAGGTTTTGGGCTATTTTTTAAAACCATTCGGGGAATTTAACGCAAGCTTTATTGCCGATTACGTTTTTGCAATAAATACATTTGGAAAACCCCGTACAATTATCGAAACATATTGGTATACGGGGGTTAACGGCATAGTTTTAATATGCTTAACAACCAAAACAACGGTTACAAAATACCGTACGCTCCGTATAATTGTTTTTAAAAAGGGGCAAATAAATAGGGTTTTAATTATCGCTTTATTAAAAATCGATAACTTTTTGCAACGGGAGCGCGTTGCAAATACTTATGTAAAGCGAGGAAAAGGCAATGTCCGTTTTAAGGGCAGGTCCATTGGAATTAAAAGCGTTGCGGCGGCGCTCGTTGCGCGCTTTACGCTTTTTTTCGGCGGAGGTCTTTTTGCCGCGGCGGTTAAAACCCGCCGGGGGGTTACCGGTAAAACGTTTGCGGGAGTTTTAAAAGGCTGCAAACGTAAAAGGGCCCGATAAACCCGCAACATTTAAAAGGCTTACCAAAGGGTTACCGGCAAAGCGATCGTTAAGGATTTAAAGGATTAAAAGTTCCGGCGAAACCGAATTCGAATCCGATTAAACCACGATAGCTAGGGAAAATACCGGGGGGTCGCTAAGAAGGGCCAGCGGGCCGGTTAAAACCGAAAAACCCGAAACGGATACCCAAAAAAACATTACTTTCCTTACGTAATCGGGTACGAAGGATAACATTTACAGTTACCGGTTAGGTCCAAATGTTTAAAAGGAACGGTTAAATACCAATTACTTACGGTTACGATCGTCGAAATTGTTGGAATAGTTATTAAATGCACAAAAAAAAAAAAAAAGGGCTCGTAGCTTTAAGCGGGAAAAAAAGCTTTTTATATGCCGGTACGGACCCATTTTTCCGAATGCTACAAAGCTTTATAGCCGGTTTCCCCAAGCGTTGCCAGGCATCGGGGCGGCCTGGCGGGATACCGTAAGCTACCGGCTACTTACGGGGTTGCACGCGCGGTACAAGCGGCCTGGAATAAGCCGTATCGGGAAAGGGCAATATGTTAAAAATACGGGCAAAACCGCCCGGCAAAAAACGGAAAGCGTTAAATGCACGGGCGAAACCGCCCGGTAAAAAAGGAAAAAGGGGGCGCTGGCAACCAGCCGGGCACGAACCCCCCAGGAACATGCCGGCGAATTACCGGTATCGCGGCCAAAGCATAATAGCGAAGCTAAAAAATAAGGTAAAGCTTAAATTGCACGAAAGCGCCTAAAGCGCGGAGGACTTAAAAGACCGACCCCGGGTGCCCGAAAGGGCACGAAAGAAGGGGAGGTTAAAAAAGGAACAATCTTTGTTGGCGATAGCACTTTTGGTAAGAGATTTACGGAGGCTTAACAAAGGAAACACCGCATCCGGCCCGTGACCCGGTAACCACCCGCCTTTGCACCGATTAACCCCTAACATTATTTTATTTATTTTATTTATTTTATTTATTTTATTTATTTTATTTATTTTATTTATTTTATTTATTTTATTTATTTTATTTATTTTATTAAACCTTTAATTAAAGATTGGGAGAAAAAAACAAGTCGCTCGGTTAAATAAGGGAATTTAAGCTTCCACTTTAGCTAAGCTAACTCCTTAGCTTCGGCGGCTTACATGTAGCCAAGGCACCCTAACCCTCCGAGCCCACAGCACGACCCTACGGCACGACGCGACAAACAGCCGTCATGGACCAACTTCCACGATCAACGAGATGGCTCCAAAAAGCTCTCTGACCCCCCCGCCGGTAACCGACAGCGACCGCCGTGACAGTAAAGGCGTTGTCCGGATTTTCCATCCCGCGTACCCGCAAACTGTCCCGCTCCTCCAGCTGGGCGCGTTCGAACCCGGCGGCGGCATCGATTTCGATTTCGCCTGGACCGCCTGCTGTATCGTTACCGGCAATACCTTTGCCATCGGTTGGCTGGCGAAGAAGGTGTCTGGCGCTTTTGATCGCATCGCTCGTCCTGACGACGGCATTCTCCGCGACCCAGCCGTTTTTTTTTGCGTCGGAGACGATGCCAACAGCAAATACCCCGTCGTTCCGACCTTCGACCACTGGGAGTTCCCGCACGACAAGCTGCTTGCACCTTGGAACAATCTCCACATCGAGCCATACATGCCACCGAACACATCGATCCTTACGCCGACGGACGGCAAAATGGCTGTCGCGTACCGCGACGTTAGGTGTTAGATTTCCGGACATTTCGATGCGGTGGAGTCGGCACACCTCGTGCCGGTCAGGGATGGGAATTGGTTCCTCCAGAAAGACTTGAGACGGTAAGCGCCTTTTCGCACCTCGCTCGGTAGTGTCCGGTATACATAGGTGATGGTATTTAGGTACTTACTTACCTTCCGAGCTGACGCCAACTGGGCTGGGCCGCAGGTACTGCCAAACCCAAATAGCCGCAATTGCCATTAATGATTTGGAAAACCTTATCCTAATCCGCCGCGACCTCCACCACCTCCTCGACACGCGCCGCTTGTTCTTCAACGCCAAAGCTACTTCCCCATTTAACACAACGCCCATGGCTTGCCTAACCGTGCAAGTTCCGGGCATGCGGTCATCTGCCGATCTCGTTGCCCTATACCACAACCGCGCCCTGCAACCATCGATGCGCGGCCTCTCCGTCGAGTTCCTATTCGCGCGTCTGGCCTGGACTCTTTTCACGGACGCATACATGCCCTTTTTCACCGACTACCAGTCCGCCTATACCACGCTGCTGTTGGACCCGGACGATAAGATCTACAGGGTTCATGAAAATATGTCGGGCGAAAATGTTAGGCAACGGGCTTCGGTGTTCCCTGCTTTCACAGCGCGGAGCATGAGTCCCAAAAAGAGGTCGCGAGGCCCCGAGGAGGACGACGGCGATACGGAGGAGGACGACGGCGATACGGAAGAGGACGACGACGATACGGAGGAGGACATGCCTCGGAGGGGCCGGACAATGATGCGCACGTACCATATCCAACGTGACCTGCAACCCCCCGTTGGGCGCCCCGCCCAGATGCCTGGTTGCAAGTCACACTTTGACGGGCCGCCCATGAAGAAGCGGCAACTAGCGAGCCCCGTTTGGCCGCCGGGCTCGTCGTAAAGCTTTTCGGTCTCGGCGCACATCGCGTCCCTTTTTATAGTAGAGCCTCGACCTTGAATCCCTCCCGTTAGTGTGCCATGATGGCAGTGGTTGTGATGGGAAGTATTTAATGTCCTTTTCAATTGCCTGGAATGCCGTTTATTATTTCAAGATAAGCGCCTTTCCTCTTCTCGAAATCCGAGTGTATAAGCTAGTAGTGTCCCTTCCTATAAGCTACGTTCAATGATTCCCATGCGGTCCTTCCCCCGAACCACACCCGACGTTGACAATAAAATCTAGCAGAAGACAAAGCTAATATCGCACAAACCTGAAACCCAATTCTTGCCGTCAACGCCTCGCTCATGCTCACAGTAAGAACCACCATCCCAGCTCGAGTGGCAGTGGTCCAAGTAAGAGTGGTGCTGTAACGTGTTGGAGTTTTCCAACGAGCCTGCGAGGAGCCAAGGGTTAGCTGGAAGAAGAAAAAGAAGAAAACGCAGGCGAGCTCACACAAATGATTCGTGCTGTTCCTTGGTCGACTTGCAGCAGGGCCAGTAGAGCCGCATCCACATTTAGGCCTCCGACTTCGTGACGCGCCCCGACACCACGCCGCCTCTCTTCCTCTTTTTGCCCTTCTTCCGCCGGGGCCCTCCTAGGCGCTGCAGCAGCGAGGCGAGGTATCCCGGGGACGCCCGGGCCTCCTTCGGGTCGATCCGCTTGCCGTCCTGCAGGGTATAAGCGCGGAACTTTTCAAAATCGGTCCAAACCTCGACCTTGGCGTGCGTTCGGCGCGCGTCGATGAGGTCGACGATGTTGACGAGCGTGCTCTTCAGGGCCTTTTTGCACTCGTCCACGTTGCCGCCCGCCGCCTCCTCGTCGAGGCCGACCTCGCGGCACAGCTCCTGGTAGCCCCGGAGCGCGATTTCTTGCGCGCTAGCGGGCTCCGCCTTCTCGTCCTCCTCGTCGACCACCTCGAGCTTGGGCGGTGGCTGCGAAAAGTAGTGGAGCTGGAGCTCCTCCCGCATGGCGATGGTGCGCTGGCGCGTGTACTCCTGTGAGCCGGGGACCCACTCCTGCGATGACGCGAGGCGCGAGAACTCCTGGTCGAAGGGTGCCGCATCGTCGGGTTTGAAGTCCTCAAACTTGGCAAAGTGGGATTGCGAGGGCGGAGGCCCGCCGTCCTCATCATCTGATATTACTATTACCATTTTCTTTGGCGAATTTGTGAGATTTGTGGCGTGCTGCGTTGGGTATTTCGTTGGGCTCCGTTGGTGCTTCTCGTTTGTTTACTTTCTCAGGTTGGCTACCACGGTTACACGTGGATCTTTTCAGGTCCAAGATGGAGGAAACCGAATGAGGTAAGTATGACCCTGTTCTGCGAATATGGCTGCAGGCCGCTTCCCCACTCCGTATGTCCCCGCACGTGTGCCGTGGAATGGGGACAGTATTCCTAGATCTCAAGACATGATCTTTGCTCAACATATGTGCCGGTTAGTTGAGAGGGAAGGCCTGCAGCTAGGGCAGTTGTTTGTAGCCTCATCTACTCCCTTTTCTTATTTTTCATTCTTCCCTTTATTTAGCTTGTACCGACCAGGTTGCTTGCGGGCAATCTCTTTGGCCATCCGTGTATAACGAGGCCTTGCCCGCCTAGCTCCACGCTCATATACAGATGCCTACACCCACACAAAGGTTTACTGATCGTCTTATACTAAAACAAACACATTATAATCATAATCTCATTTGTCGGAGTGGCCTTTTCAGATCCCGAATTTTAGATAAGCTGGAGGCTGCATGGACATCAACGTTTTTCCCACTTGGGCATGGCGACAGCTAAAGCTGTAGGTATTTGTCCTAGCCAAGTATGTTGATCAGATAATTCTTTCAACAGCCGTCCTAGTTGCTGGCTGTGCATGCGCAGCGTTTGCCGTTGATAGCGAGCTACCTATAGGATGGAATGGAGAAAGGGGCATCACACGGACCCTGCAGCCTTCCGCCGACCTGTGTCTGTTTGCCCTTACTTTGCTCTCAACTCGGCCTGATATTGGTCGCCTTGCTCCCGCTCTGCTGCCTAGATGAAAAATTTTCGTGCCCACCGGAGTTTTTGTCTCTGTCGCTTTCCCTTGCTTTGTGTACGGTCTTTCCTCAATACCAACCCGCACCACCACCCACCCTTCTGTCCACATCCATCATCCTGTTCTCCGCCAGTATCCTGTCCGCCAACAACATCCTCCAACCAGCCCGCTTTACCTTTAGCAATATCTGCTGTGGCCACAAATCATCATCGATTTCCAGCCAGCCGTAGCAGCCAACATGGCTCTGCGTGCCGTCTTCAACCACCTCGTCCTTCCCCCAAGAGTGCCTGGTGGACCGGACGAGGACGAGGAGAACGTCTCGCACGAAGTGCTCGCTCGGCTGAGCAGTACCTGCTACAATACATTCTCGAATACGGAATCCTCTTGGTCTGCCGCCTTTCGGGGGCTTCAGGCCTCGCTCTCTGCTTGTGAGGTGTTGCACCAGTCTGGGGGCCTCGATCGGACGGCCCTGCTGGCACATTTCAAGCAACTCAAGCCCGGCCACATCCTGGTGCTTCACATCATCCCCCAGAATGCGGCCCTTCTGGTCTGGGCTGAGATTGACGAGTAAGTTCGCTGTCTTCATCCGGCCAGGGTCATCCGGGAGGTTTTCCCAAAGATCAACACTAACGCTAGCATGCCAAATAGCAACGGAGACGAGGCAATTGTCATTGAGGCCTTCGAGGCCTCGCCGACTACCACGGCTGTTCTCGCCACCCCAAGAGTCCTCGAGTGGTCCTTTCCTGGGCGTTCGTGCCGAATTTCCCCTGGTGATTTCCACGACCCAAACTTCCAGCAGTGCCTGGCCAACTTCCTCGAACAGGCCAGCTCGGAGTCGCTCCACACCCTCAAGGCACATGTAACCAAAGCCGGCAAATCCGTCGCCGAGGAGCGCGACACACCCAGTCCTGCACTCGTCACAGAGATGCTGATGTCCATCTTTGAGGCCGTCGGCAAACCCAGGCAGCCGCCGCGGCTGATGTGGAAGCACGTGCGGGACGACGTCAACATGCAGGATTCTAACCAGCCTTGGCGGCGACTGCCTTTCTGGCTTGTCCTCCGTGTCGCGGCCAGGCGCCAGCTGGCACTGATACTTGGAGAGACCAAGGGCCGCTTTGCCTACAAGTGCCTCATGGCCGTCATGTTTGCTCAGCTCCTGAAGGACTCGGCTGGATCGCTCCCACCCGACCTTGCCATTACCCTCCGAGCAAAGCTATGTCGGCGTATGGCTAAGCTGGAGATGGATTTGAAGCAAATGGAATCATCGGGCATCGATGCCTGCAAAGCCCACTTTGATGCAACACGCCATCTTGTCCGAGCTTCTGTTGAGCACGCCACCGACCAAGTCGTGAGAGCTTGGGCCTTTTTCAAGCACAAGACAAAACTCGTCACTCCACGACTCCCCGAATATGCAGACAGTAGCTCTCTTCAGCTCTCTCTGCCCAACAGCGGGGCGTATCTGGACCGCCTGCTGGTCTTTCAGGCCCCACCTCGAGCTGCTGCTCCATCGCTCGACCTTCCTCGCCCACTCGACGCAACCATCCAGCGATCTCAGGACTTCACCAACAAGGTTTTTAACATCGCCGCACTCGAGAGTGGCCAGGAGGTGCCAGGCATATCCAGTTTGAGTAATGAAGCGCGGTGCCTGCGTCTTGGTGAGCGCATCACGAAGCTCTTCGCAGATACGCATGACTTGTCTTCGGGAGATCCCGCTCAGCAGAGCTCTAGGACATTGGCCATCTTTTGCCTATGGACCCAGCTGGACAAAGCTGCAGTCGAGGCGTGCCCACTGCTCAAGGACTATGCTCCAGTCTTTAAGCCCGAGATGCTCGACGTCCTCCAGCTGCCCAACATGCGCGAAATGCGCCGCCTACAGGACGTGCAGGCCTACTTGAATAGTCGACGCTCGGAAGCTCGACACGGCAACATCTTTCAGGTTGTCGATATGGAGTCTTTCGCGGTTCGTTACACATCACAGTCGACTGGAGCGCGGGCCCATGGTGTTCACGTCCAGTCCCTTTCCGACCAGAAAAAGCGAGCGAAGAAGCTGGAGTGGATCAATGTGTGCCGCGAATACGACGAGCATACTTCGCAGTTCTCCAATGGCACGTGTCGGTGCTCGTATGTGAACGGGGAGCGAGACATCCGAGGGTGCAAGAGGTGCTATCACAACCGCGTTCGGAATCGCCTCAGCCTCCAAGTGTTCGAGCAGTTTCTCCCCGAGCTCGAGCCGGCCCGCTCGACAGTTCTGTTTGAGCTGGTCATCCCAGCCCACCTCGCCATATACCGGGACATGACATGGAAAATCGCCAGCATGCTTGCGCACCCTAGCAGGCCTAAGCAGGATCCGTTCAAAACGACAACGAAGCTTCTCGAGCACACGCCGCTGTGGGAGCACACGGCTCAGCGGAAGCAAATAATCACGCTTGCGTCCCCAATCAAGTGCTTCGTTGACACGCACTACAAGTTCGTGTCCGGCAAAATGGCCTTGGAGGCTGTGGTTGTCCCCCTGGGCGCCAGATTCCAACTCTACGACCAAGTCTCCAAGATCTGGGTCAGCGACCTCACCGAGGAGCTGACGCTACAGCACCTCTGCGGCATCCAAGTCCCCCTAGCGCTGCGTTCCACAGTGTTGCCCGCAGTTCTTCACCCGCCACCCCACGTTGACGGGCCTTCCTCGTACGAAGTCCAGGCAAACAAGAGCGTATGTCCGCCCGACGTGTCCAGCCACGAGTTTTCTGCGCACCAAGAATTGCTCTCCGGCACGATCCGCCGCTGGGCCCAGGTGCTGGTGCAGCTCGGCTCGTCCAGCCTCAACTTCAGCAGTGAGGAGACAACAAGGCTCATTTCTCAGCTGGCCACCCAGGCCGGTCCGCGACTGGACAATGACATCCTGCGGAAGGTCCATGCGTGCTTTAGGGAGCCCGGATTTGTCGAGAGGCTGGCAAGGGGCATAGAGAAGCGAATCAAAAGCATCCTGACGAACTGGAGGGAGCACCAGTGCATGGATATGCTCATCACGCTGGCGTTGCGCATCTACCAACTGGCCCCAGATGATACCGGTCGTCGCCGTGCGCAGGATCTTCTCGAGATGACGAGGGAAGCTCTCCTTGGCTGGACGGTACAGATTTCCGGGATTAAAATCGTGAGTGCCGCAGATCTTTCTTTTCCCCTCTTCGATTTGTGTTAAATGTTATATTCCCATCACCATTCCCATTCTTGTTTTCCTCTGTATTCTTTCTTCTCCTATTTCCATTCCTGTTGTGCACTCTTATCTTTCTTCTTATTTCTTTGTATTCTTATCCCTCATCCTGCTACTATCCCTATTCTGCATTCTTGTCTTTCTTCTCATTTTTCTTCCTGTTCTTTTGCCGTCCCCACCCCCGAAAAGGGCTGCCCAACCACGCTTATCATTCTAATACTTAAAACCTATGCAGCCAAGCGCGCAGTCCAGCGCAACCACGGACGGGGACACAGCACAGCGGGCGTCAGGGTATTGCTTGTGGGCGAGCCTTCTATGCCGTCGCACTTTTGACGTATACGCAGACCTGGCAGCCGACGGGGATTTCGTCTTGGAGCCGGAACATCTGGCGTCCTGGATTCAGGCATCTGTGGCCCTGCAGGAGAGCATAATGGTTGATATTGATGAGCTCCCCGTCATGGAAAAGCATGCGCTTATACGTGATTCCAAAGCCGCATACTACCTCGCCCCTCTTCTCCGACGATCCGTCGTGGCTCATCCTGCTGCCGTTGGCCGGGGCATCGATGCCAGTTGGTCAGGAAGGCTAGGGGCAGATGAGGCTCCGTCTGACGACAATATCATTTCTTCGTGGAAGATACTTGCCTCTCACGACCGCTGGGCTGTCGGCTGCACGGTTGCGCAAGAAGCTGGTAGAAGTCGCAGCCAAGCTGTTCATTGCAACTTCATCGAGGGCCACCTGTTGGTCGACGGCAAGGCTCGTGGAAAACTGCCCCTGGAGATCCGCAACAGCCCAGATGTCAAAGCTTTGTTCGACAGCCAAAGCCTCCTGACGCATTCTTCGGCAATGCATAGAATGACGCACCGACTAGCAAATCTCGTTCACAATCAGGAGGTGCATTTCGGCCTCGACCAGTCAAAAAACGCCGTCATTCAGACATGGTCAAAAACACATGGCCACTTTCAGTTCATCCCTTACCGTATCTTCACTCACCAGAGCAACCCGAAGTCGGCTGCCTTTGACCTCCCCCTGGAGCTGGTGGAAGGCTGCGCACATTGGCTCAACCTGAAAAGCGGCAGACTCGAAATCCGACGCAAGGCGGACATTTGGTTCAACAGGCCGCGTAACTGGGCGCTTGATGTCACCACGCGGCGAGCTTTTCGTGGCAACGTAACCCTGGTCGACCCTTGGTCCAAGGTTTTTGGCTCGATCAACGGCATCCTGGCACACTTTGAGCGACCCGAAGGGTTGACGGTGTACCAGCCAGAGATAGGGAGACTCAAAGTGGACATGCGGCGGCTGGATCTTGCTTTTGGGGTCAATCAGGCCGGCCGCCTGCAGTGCCAGCAACTTGGTGCTGAGATCGACCCGGACCAGGATGCTGGGACGTGGTACGGACTAGCAAGCAAGATCGTGGTGCGAGACCTGACCACCCAGGAGCGTAGCATTCTTTTGCCGCTTGGCACACTTAGCGGGAACAGGCACGGGATGCATGTGCAAGTTCGCATGTCCGACAGCAAGACCTACGGCCGCTTTGGGATTGATACCGTCCTGGGCAGACTGACGTGTCCCCCGGAGCCGCGGCTGCTCCTCACCAAGGCACTCTGCCATGGCCTAACATCCTTCTGCCTCCCCGACCCCCTGACGAAGCGAACTGGGACGGAGGAGGCATTTGAAATCCTCAGCTCAGGTACTTCGCAACCATGGCAACCAATCAGTCCTGATCTGAAACCACTTCTTGAGTCCTTTTCGAGCCTGATCCCCGAGAGGGAGTACTATCCACCGCAGCTCAAGCGCATTCAGAGGGTGACGTGGCACGACACGTTAACCACAACAATTCAGCACGATGGCTACCGTGCCTTGCTTCGCAACATGATCGAGCAGTCCAGTCGACTTAGTGACTTTACTCTGACACCGGTAATGGATGCGTCGCGTCTATCTCAGCAGTTAGAACACCTCGAACTGCGCGGCGAACTACAGCGGCGTTTGTACGAGCGCCTGCCTCTTGACACAAGCGGTGCCAGTGATGGCAAAGTTGGCTGTGACGGTATGGTCCGGTATACGTCACGAGACCGTTCTATGACCCACCGGGCTACAAAGGTATTCAGAGCAGCCCGCCTCATCGTCCGACAAGGCGCAGGGCTACATATGGGCAGCAGGCTAGTGCAGATTCTCGAGTCCTGGGATCAGAGCAACCCGATCGGGGGGTTCCAGGCACTGTCCAAGGGCACCTCGACGGGTCTTGACACATCGCCACTCATTGACCAGACCGACGGTCCCATACAGGAGAAATGGGGACGGTTCGTGCAGTTCTGCCGGGCGGCTGACATTGAGAAGGAGCAAGGCTCGCTGATCTTTCGGCTCGGCCTCCTGGCGTTTGGCCCCGTTGACATGGACGTCGTCCACTCGCTCGCGGCCTTTGCCTGCATCGACAGGCTGAAGCAGCTGAAGCCGCCAGAGCGCGGCCACTTCACCAACTTCTCCTCTCGGGGCAGGCCTTCCCCTAAGGAGCTCGAGATCTTGACCATCTCGGCATGCTCTACTTGGACATGTTCGAGGAACCGAAAGGGTACGCCCAGAATTGTCGACGCGGCCGGCCGTACTGAGAATGAGCACAACGCTCTCTGCAAGCAGGAGACGGCACAGTTTTGCAAGCACATCCTGGAGCAGTGGCCTGCGCCGGCTTGGAAGCTTTCGGCCGACGGCTGCGAAGATTCGGTGTTCGACCGCGAGCTAGCCCTCGAAAAATTGGCCCCGGATTGGGAGCGTAGGCGAGACAACGATGCGCTCTGCAACTTTGCAAATCAGGCGCAGACAATTCTCGACTCCCACGAGGGCCCTCGTGATGCTGCCACGCTGGCCGAATGGACGAGCGGTGATTGGAACAGGAACCCATCCCACCATGACATCGTTCCTTCCTCGGCTCAGGGCCTCGTGCTTAAGCCAGGCCCCGTGCTTACGAAGGCACCATCTCGGGCAATGCCAGTCAGCCAGAGCGCTGCTCCACAGCAAATTTTCGAGCTTAAGCGCACCACCAGTCCTCCTCGTACCGCTACCGAAGCGACAGAACTTCGCCAAATTCTGAACAACTTCACATCTACCAGCAACAAGCTGCGTCAGCGCTACGGCAATGACCTTCTCCGAAGCCTCGAAGCCCTTGACGCGGGCGTGGGCCAAGCGCCTCGCGCTTCCCACCAGGGGCTCATCGCACCAACCCCTGAAGATATTGGCCAGTGCGTCGAGCAAAGCCGTCATCTGGTGGCGCGTCATCTGGGAGAGATTGCCGACGCCTTCGCTGCCGACGATGCTCGTTCGGTCTGGCTTCAGCTGGGAGCCCTATGGCCCTGCACTCGAGCGGCTGTTCTCGCGCTTCTGCGGTCATCGTCATGTCTGCACACAGGCGACTGCGATCCAGCCATGAAGAAGGCACTCGTGCAGTACGGGCTCGAGTTGACGTCCCTGCAGCGATTCGGGCGCATGCAACGCGCGCTCCAACGAAAGAACACTCCCGCTCTCGCGGATGAACTGGACAACCCTGGCCATCAATCCTGGTCCCCTCACCACGAGTTCCCCGATTGGCTTCTGCTCGAGATCGATGGGGACCTTCTCATCCGGCCTGACCAGGTCGATGTCGCCCGGGCCATCATCGCGCCGGCCTCCGGTCAGAACAGCGTTCTCCAGATGAACATGGGGAAGGGAAAGACTTCGGTCATCATGCCTATGGTCGTAACAGCCCTTGCCGATGGACAGACCCTCGCACGTCTCATTGTCCCCAAAGCGCTCCTCATGGCCACGGCACAGGTCGCCCAGGCCCGACTTGGAGGCCTTGTTGGCCGTACGATTCGGCACATTCCGTTCTCGCGCAGAACAAAGGTCACGCCCGAGCTGCTGAAAATGTATTCCAAACTGCACGTTGACACCCGTGAGGCGCGCGGGCTTATCCTAACCAGCCATGAACACCTCCTCTCGTTCAAGCTGGGCGGATGGCAGCACTTGGCAGATGGAAAAACGGACCTTTCAGCGCAAATGCTAAAATTCCAACTCTGGCTCGAGCGCCATTCCCGCGACGTGCTCGATGAGTGCGATTTTACCCTTTCGGTCAAGACGCAACTCAACTACCCAGGTGGCAACCAGGCCGCTGTCGACGGCCAGCCGTTTCGATGGCAAGTAGCCGAGGCGCTTTTAGCTTTGGTGGCTGATCATGTACCGACACTACGCCGGGAACACCCCCTTGGCATGGCTGTTCTGGAGCGCCCGGGATCATTCCCAATGGTGCGATTCTTGAGGCGCGAGGCCGAAGAGGCCACCGTGAAGCTTATTATCGACGCTATCTGCGGTGGCCGCTGTGCATACATACGGCCAACCGACTCGGCTTTGGCGTCGCCTCAAGGCCCACAGATCACGAGCATTCATCGGCTATTCACGGAGGCGGCGTCCGATCCCGACGTATTCGCGCAGGCCGTCAGTGCGTTTGCAGACCAGCAGGCCAGCGCTCAGTGCCTATTGGTGATACGTGGTCTTCTTATCAACAAGATCCTCGTAACCTGCCTGGGAAAGCGTTGGAACGTTCAGTACGGACTGCACCCACGGCGCGACCCTTTGGCGGTTCCATTCGAGGCCAAGGGCACCCCGTCGGAACATGCCGAGTTTGGCCACCCAGATGTTGCCATCGTGCTCACCTGTTTGGCCTTTTATCACCAGGGGCTGACGCAGCAACAATTCCTCCAGGGTCTGCAGCAACTCCTCCAATCTGCTGATCCCTCACAGCAGTATGAGGCGTGGACGGTGGGCTGCCACCATAAACTGCCAGAAACTCTGCGGCACTGGAACGTGATTAGCGTGGAGGACAGCGCCCAGGTGGAAGAGCTATGGGAGCACTTGAAGTACAATCTCGTTGTTATCAACCACTACCTCGACCACTTCGTTTTCCCTTCGCATGCCAAGCAATTCGACGTCAAATTGCAGGCATCTGGCTGGGATATTCCTCTCTTTCCTGCGGCTATTCCCGGGGCTCGCACAACAGGCTTCAGTGGAACAAACGACAATCGCACGATGCTGCCTTTGACGATTCAACAGGACGACCTGCCCAGCCTCCAGCAGACGAGCGCCGAGGTACTCACGTACTTTTTGCAGCCACGCAACCGGAACTACCACGTGACTGTCGATGATATTTTCAAGACACGACTGTCCGAGAAAGGTCTGCTAAGGAAGCTCAAGGCATCGAACATCAAGATCCTTATAGATGCCGGTGCTTACATCCTAGAGATGGGCAATAAGATGCTGGTCAAGGAGTGGCTAGGGATAGACAACGAAGCCGTGGCAGCTGTCTACTTTGGAGAGGACGCCCGCGCTTGGGTGCATCGTAAGGGAGAAGGCAAGGAGGACGTACCGCTGTTGGCAAGCCAGTTCGCCAACAATCTCGACAACTGCCTTGTTTACTTTGACGAGGCGCACACCCGAGGGGTGGATCTCAAACTACCCATGAACACTCGCGGCGCGCTGACTCTTGCGCTCAAGCAGTCCAAGGACTTTACAATGCAAGGTAAGACAGTACTCTTCCCATCCGTCTCTCCTTATTCCTCTCTCTTTATTCTTTTTATTCCTCTTTTTCTATTCTTCTCGTTTTATTCCTCTTTCTCTATTCTTCTCTCTGCTAACACATTTCCGCACTCCTTCAACATAGCCGCCATGCGCCTCCGCCAGCTGGGCACGACCCAGTCCATCGAGTTTTTCGCCCCGCCCGACGTGGACCGGAGCATCCGCGACCACTTGTCAAGCAACGGGAAAGACGTTAAGATCGACTCGGCCCACGTCATAGCTTGGCTTCTCGAGCAGACCTGTTGTGGGCATGAGGATCTCCAGAGCCTATACGTGTCACAGGGCGACGACTTTTGCCGCCGTGCAGAGGCCGCATGTAGCTACCATCGTGACTCGGCTAGAAATCCACGGCAGCAACGCAGCAATGTTCTTGCGGTCATGCAAAAGCCTGAGCGGCAGACCCTCGAGCAGCTGTACGGTGGAGCAGGACTGGGCGAGTCGAGTTCCGTATCTTTCGCCGCGATGGATCTGGATCCTCGCCTGAAAAAGATCATGAGCGAGCTTAGGCAATACGATGTGGACTGCCACGGCGGCACTGATCTGGACGCGCTACAAGAGGTAGAACAAGAGAGAGAGATCCAAGTCCAGGTTGAACAGGTGCGCCAGGTGCAAAAGCGTCTCCGTCATACGCCTCTCAACTTTCCCCGACTTCATCCCGATATCGAGCAGTTTGTCCGCACAGGGCTCCTGTCACCGCACGCGCTGGCCCCAGGCTTTGAGCAAGCGCTTGCCTATGTCGGCAGAACACAGGTGGGCAAGCGGTTCGGCGTGCGAGAGACGGGATCGAGCCTCTTCGTCTCGGCCGAATTTGGCAGGACCGTTAAGTTTGGGCACGGTGCCGAAACAACCAACGTGGCAGACAACTTCCTAGTAAGTGCACTCTACGGCTTCTTACAGCACACTCTCTCTTCTCGTGGTCAACTTGCTAACAGTGCTGACTTCCCAGAGACCTGTTCAGTGGATCCTCTGGAGCCCATCTGCTGAGACTGCACTTATAGTCATCGCTGAGGAGATCGAGATCATCATCCCCATGCTCCGCCTTGCGTCTGTGACTGGAACGCAGAAGGTGCACATGGTCGCCTATTCAGCGCCGACCACCAAGGCCATGCTGCCATTCAACTCATACAACTACTACAACTTCCCACGGCTGCCGACCGACCTCGACTTTCCCCCGTGGTTCCGGTTCGAGGTGGGCATCGTCGCGGGCAGGCTGTACGTCGGCGCGGACGAGTGGGGCCCCTTGAAGGACCTCGTCTGGCCAAAAGATTCGGAGCTCATTGCCGGCTCCTACGACGGCGTGCAGACCGCAGGTGGCGACAGGTTAGGAATATGCGCAGACGATCTCGCCGGCTTCCTTCGCGCGTGGCTTGCGGTCCGCCATCCAACGCAGGATATACTGCACACACCCATGGGATACATCTGCATGGGACGGTCCCTGGAACAGTCGCCGTTCCGATTGGTGGATGCTGGATTGGGGTAATGAGGGGGGACGTTTTGTTCGGTGTGGAGGCATATCGTCCTAAGACGACGGAGGAATGTTTTATTTACTGAGGTGGAACCATTGTGGAATTACTGGGACTGGGCGTAGAGTGATTTTGGCTCGTAGTTTTTTAAAACGTGTTGTGTTTTTTTAAGTAGCAGAATGCATCCATGCAAGACGGAGGAGACCCTATCCTTGTATTCACGGCGAATGCATGTTTGGTAGTTGAATACCTACCTACCTATTTGTCTACCCATGCGTTAGAAACCTTTACCACTTGATGCTCTGTCTTTGGAATTTATCCATCTTTCAGGGTATCTCTGATTTGTGGCTAAAAGAAGGGAGTCGCGTGGCAAGTCGTCGGTTCCGTTTGCCCCTTGTCCTGAGCTTTCAGTCTTGGGCAACATGTGCCAGTCCCGTGCCGCAGCACCCCCACTTTTGCCGTTTCTGTGGCTTTGTAAGTCGGCGAACCCGTCCGAGCTGTCCCGGAAAGCTCGGCGGCAGCTTGAAGCCTGTTAAAAAAAAAGATTTGGAGTTTTTGGAGATATCCCGAGTTGGGTGGAGGAAGTAGTGACCGGGAGGCACCACCGACAAACCAACCGGGGGTTACCTGTAAGTCTATGTCACACGAACAAACTCGATATCGTAAAAGCTTCCCGCAGCGCTCCCCGACGGGCCCAAGCCCAGACGGTCTCCAGATTCGTATCTGGAAAGGAATCTTGCTAGGAGAGAGGCAATCTGATATAAGCCGTCAAGTATGATCGCTGTGCCGCTGCGACAGGCTGACGGCGTGCTAAGATGGAAGGATCAATTCTTACACCGTTGCGCCTCCACGTGATGTAACGCGATGGAGGGTGCTCGCCTCGTTGCACAGCCGATTGCGCAACGAGCTTATCGTTCCTCCAGAAAGCGGGCACGAGGTCGCATCGAAAGGACCAGGCAGGTGCATTCAACTCGACGGGAGCTCGGCCTGGGCCAACCAATTCCTTCCTCTTTGGTTAGGTTCGGGTGCCATCATAATAGTGGGGGCGGGATGGGTTGACATCTCAGTGCACAGGGGACCCCAAAATCAGCCTAACCTGGGTTGGCACAGACGCGGACCCCTCAACTGGCTGCTCAGACGGCTGCGAAAGGGACAAAACCAACAACCAAACGCCCTGGTCTAGCAATTCCGTGATGGCGACCGGAATGGTTCAAATCAATTTCCCAGAATCCAAGAAGCGGCCAAGACTCGACCGACCTTTTGCAGTCCCCACCGCCATTGGCGACGACGCTGCGGGGCTTTTGGGAAAATCCTCCAGCCACCACGCCCGTGTGCGGCACAGCTAGAAATGGTCGTCGTCGTCGTCTTCTGGCGTCTTGGCCGCCCTCCCTCCGTCCGCCTCCCCGCCATCCCGCATTCGTAAATCTCCTCCACTCACATCTCTAAGAAACGGCACAGAATCCCTCGGGTACACGGAGCGGGGGTCGCAACGCTTTTGCGCGCGACACCGAGGTCGACAGCCGACGGAGCCTCCTCGCTTCGTTTGATGGCAGCCTGGAGAATGGAGTGAGTGCCCCGTCGCCGAGCCTCGACCGCGATCTAGCTACCGGCCTAGGACTGATGCGTGCTAGGCCGGTCGCGAGCTGCTAAGTTTGGAACTCATGCCCAATATTGCAATCGCGGGCTTGTCATGGCCCGCCCGCGCACCCACGTTGCATCGGCCTGAGGGTGTGCCGTGCGAAATGCCCGTTGGCTGCCCGTCCGCGTCTCTCGCTGCTTGCGGCCCTTTTGGCATGCCAGTCCGTCTGCTGGGCTGCTGCCCAGCCAATCACCGCGCTTTCGTGGCTGACTCCCGTCCCTTGATTGGGCCCTCGTGGCCTTGTGGGGAAGAATAAGACCCTTGGGGAGTCCCTTGGGGAGTGTGGTGCGTGAGAGGGAAGGGCTCGGCGGCAGGCTTGGCCTTCGCTTGTCCTTCACACCCACAAGTCGGCATTTTTTCTCTCCCTCCTCCGTGGTGACAGCACGGAAAAAGCGGAGAGTCGGGAGCCCCTCCTGGGGATCTCGCTCCCGACGCCCTGGGCTTGCTTCAGCTGACTCTCCTGCCTTCCCCTGTCCTCCCCCGCCCCTTCGAGTTGTGCCGGGCGCTGATCTGGGCAATCCCCCAGGGCATAGGGATGATCAGCCTGCCAACAGCAGCCATATCGCGGTTCGTTCAACTTTGTGATCTCAGTTGCGCGCTGTGAAAAGTTTCATGGGCGATTCAGCGGCTGCATTTGGCCTCGCGTCTCAGTGCCGCCAGAAGCTGTGCCGCTGTTTCTACGTGGCAGAATCCTTTCGGCAGTGTGAACCCACAGCTCGGGGGCACCGTCCCACAGCCTTACACGACACATGAGATGCCCTGCATCGAGCGGTTACATTAGCAGTGTCCGTTGGTTGTAAGTGTGGGCTGCCGTGACAAGGTCTCGGCCATTAGCCGTCGTGCTTCCCCCCTGCAAAGCTGTGCATAAGCAGTGTATTACACTCCACCGTCCTCGCTCCCGTCCTCTCTCTTATCTGGAGCGTCCGCTCCGAGTGCCCCATCTCTGTCCAGTCCTTTTCTGTTCCCCGCGAGAGTGTAGATGTTGATCGCATCTCTATCCGTCGCATCAGACCACAGGAGGAATAAGGAGAAGAAAAGACAGAGCAGAAACACAAGACACGCTTTTCGATCGCAGCGGCAACTACACGTCGCCGCACGACTTCGGATACCTACTTTCACTCCCACCCAACTGGGACAGGGATAACCACCAGCTCCTAGGCCTGGGCCGTTTTTAACGACTAGAGGACCCCAAGTCGGTTGCCGCCAACCACCTACCTTCCCGATCATCCATCCCAAAGGGAGCTGCAATGATGCAGCAAGCCGACCTGGGCAGTGCCCTCGCCGCCGCCGCAGTGCTGGGAGCACTGCTGCCATGCGCCGTCGACGCAACGCTTCTCAGAAGGGAAAGAGACATGGTGCATAGGATAGAAAAAACCCATGTCACCGAGGTCAAGGAGCTCCACAAGCGCGCGCTGCAATGCCCAGTTGGCAACCGCATGTGCCCTGAGTCGGTAGGCGGCGCATGCTGTCCAGACTCCTACGCCTGCGCCAAAGACCACTGCTTCGCAACCACGGCTGGCAGCGGCGTGGTATGTGGTAAACAGGGGTATTATGCCTGTCCTGCCTCGTTGGCAGGTTGCTGTCCCCAAGGTTAGTCTCCGCTGTCGAACACCCCACCACGTAACCAGTTCTGACCATCGTGATGCATGGGCAAACAGGCTATATATGTCAGAGCGCGGGATGCGGCATACCGGCGGGCGCGACATTGGCGACCCTTCCTTGTCCCACTGACATGATTAGCTGTCCTGCCAACCTTGGTGGAGGATGCTGCCGCACCGGCATGGGCTGCGGCCTGAATATGTGCACCTCCACGGACCCCAAGACGTTCACTTTCACGAAAACAGAGACTATCACCGAAAACTCTCGGCCCACCACCAAGACGACCACGGTGACAACAACATCGATACCGCCAGAGCCGACCGGCCTCCCAGATGGTACCACCAACCTCCCCAAACTCTTTGTCACGCAGCTTGACAAGATCCAGCCGTCCGAGGTTCCCACTGGGGATTCAGGCGGGCTCACGACTGCGCAGATCGGCGGTATCGCGGGCGGCGTCGGCGGCCTGCTTGTCGCCGTCTTGGTCGCCACCTTCTTGATCATTCGGCGGCTGAAGAAGACACAGCAGGCGGTAGACGAGTCTCGTCGCGGCTCCTCGGCAGCTACGAGGACGAACCGATCGCACAAGCACATGACACAGTCCTCATTCGGCGGCGGTATCGCCGGCTACCCCAAGCCCACGCCTTCACAAATCGATGCCATGGAGTACGACGACCTACTCCAGAGCAACGCGTCCACGGCGCTGCAGACACCCATGCAGAGCACTGGCGCGCCCGCCTCCACCATCGGAGGGCGCGTTTCGTCCGAGATCACTCCCTCGTCCCGGCCCACGCCCAACCCGGACGGCAGACACACCAGTGACTACTTTGACATGCCCGAGGCCATACGGAACGGGACGTCGAACCCTCGCCACTCGGTTGGGATGAGTACCAACTTCAGGTCCAGCATCGACTCGCAAGGCACCGCGGTAGCGGCCGAGATGATGGGGTCGCTGGGTCCACCCGCGCCCCTGACGGCCGCGGCCATCGCCCAGAACCAGCGCTTGCAGCAGCAGCAGGACAGGTCGCGGCGCCACCACAGCAACAGCAGCGTCAGCGTCCAGTCGTGGGGCAGCCACGAGCTCACGAGCGACAGCGGCCTCGGCTCTGCCGGCCTGCCTGCCGAGCTGGTCGGTCAGGGCTCGCACGCCTCGGAGCTGCCCGTCGAGCAGACCAGCAGCGAGCTCGCCGGCAGCAGCGTGCCGCCGCAGGTCCGGAGGCGATCCACGGGCGACGGCACCACCAGCCCCGGACCCGTGACGCGGCCCCCGGCGACATACCAGAGGGCGGCGGCCACGGGCAACCTGGACGTCGTCAACGAGTCGGCTGCCGAGATGCATGGCTACTACGGTCCCCCGGACGCTATGTCGGGCCAGACCCATGTCCCCACCGACCTCAGCTCACCCGTTGTAATACCCTTTAACCAAAGCCTATCGCCTAACTCCCCTGGCAGCGACCCGAGCAATCCTCTACGAGGATAAGGTGGCGAGAGGCATATTCCCTTGTATTTTGCTAATGATTATTCCAACGCCCGGCTTTCGCTTGTTTGTCTCTCTTTGTATATACGCGGCCGAGGTTTCTTCGTAGGACGGATGGGATGGGACATAACAAACCAGGTATGGTTGATTGGACATATCGGGCGCTGTGCAGGGTTTTGGGCTCGAGCGGGTAGACTTTGGGCGTCCCCTCGCTATTCCCATTTTCAGGCGCAGTTTTGCTGTTGACATTTCATCAAATATCTTGTCCCTGTTCTACGCCGACCCAGAATATATCGACAAGGTCCTCTCCATGCGTGACGTCTGCCTTGTTGATGACATGGAGGCTAGCGCCACTGAAACCATGCTTGGCTACCTGCGTTTAGTCCTTAGTAAGGGAGGGACAGGCCAACACCAGTCCGTGTTGATAAATGTAGAGGTATCGTAAAGTCGTATGATTGATGATTATGCGTAATAAAGAGTTGATGCAGAAGAGAAAACGGCTGGCCCCTGGCCTGACCGAAGGTGAGAATCACGAGGCCGCTCACGGCAAAGACACGCCTCTCGGCAGAACCCGCCCCTCCCCCAGCCCCGCCCTCTCCCTCCGTTAAGACTCGGCGACGCGCACGGGATGTCCCGCCGACGGCACCTCCTTGGCGCCCGCTTCGGGCGGCGGCAGGGCAACGCCTCCCCGTACGTCAACCTCGTCGTCGCTGGACGGCCTCCCGGCCAGCGAGGACGCGGCCGACGACGACGCGGTCAGCGACGGCAGCGTCCCGTCGCTGCCCTCGGCCTCGACGAGCGGCGTGGGGGTCTCGGCGATGCTCTCGAGAGAGCAGCGGGACCTGTACGACGACGGCGCCGCCGCTGTCGGTGGCGGGGGCGGGGGCGGGGCCGCGGCGTCGAC